ATTATCAGGCTGCTCGAAAAAGTCCATTAAGACTCTTCAGCTGATCCAGAATGCTGCAGCACGTGTTCTGACAGGAACCAGGAAAACAGATCACATTTCTCCTGTTTTAGCTTCTTTGCATTGGCTTCCAGTAAAATCCAGAATAGAATTTAAAATCATTCTTCTCACCTACAAAGCTCTTAATGGTCAGGCACCATCTTATCTTAAAGAGCTCATAGTACCTTACTACCCCACCAGAGCACTGCGCTCCCAGAATGCAGGGTTACTTGTGGTTCCTAGAGTCTCCAAAAGTAGACTAGGAGCCAGAGCGTTCAGCTATCAAGCTCCTCTCCTGTGGAACCAGGTTCCAGTTTGGGTTCAGGAGGCAGACACCATCTCCACATTTAAGAGTAGGCTTAAGACTTTCCTCTTTGATAAAGCTTATAGTTAGGGCTGGCTCAGGTGAGTCCTGAACCATCCCTTAGTTATGCTGCTATAGGCCTAGATGGCTGGGGGATTTCCCATGATGCACTGAGCTCCTCTCTCCTCCTCTTTCTCTCTCTCTGCATGGAACCTCATCCCATTATTGCATGTTACTAACTCGACTTCTTCCCTTTCCCGTAGTCTTGTGCTTTCTCGTCCCTCCTCTCTCTCCTCCTATCACTTCCTGCAGGTGTTTCTGGCTCTGGAGCTGTGGAGTCTGGATCTGTGGCTGCGGGTCACCTGCTGCCCCCGTGTTCCTGCTCGACATCCTCTGTTACAATTATTGTTACTACTCCTATTGTTATTACTGTAAATATCTGTACCATTATTCATTCAGTCTATACCAACATCACCTTTACTGTCTGTACCTCTGTGTGTATATTGCGTAGGCTGCCTCCCTCCTCCCTCCTCTCTCTCTCCTTCCATCCCCCTCCCTCTTTCTCTCTCTCTCTCTTCCCCCCAACCGGTCAAGGCAGATGGCCGCCCACCCTGAGCCATGGTTCTGCTCAAAGTTTCTGCCTCTTAAAAGGAAGTTTTTCCTTGCCTCTGTCGCCTAGTGCTTGCTTTTGGTGGGAACTGTTGGGCTTCTGTAAATATCATCATAGAGTATGGTCTAGACCTGCTCTTTTATGAAAAGCGCTCAGAGATAACTGTTGTTGTGATTTGGCGCTATAAATAAAATTGAATTGAATTGAAATGCAAAAAACGGGAAGTGATGTTGTTTTTTGGGACCTTATGTGTCATGCCTTCACGAGGGGCTGTGTGAAATTTGGTGTCAATCGGCCTCTAGGTGGTGCTGTTCATTTATATCAAATGACACTCCCATAGACATACATTAATTGTATATCGTCATAATCACAAGTCCCGTTAATGTAAAACTCAGGTAATTCATTTACCACCAGCCCCCATTGCCGTGTGCAACATTTCATGCAATTCGGACAATAGGTGGCGCTGTTATTGCAAACTCAAGGGTGCAGGAAAATATAATTTCAATACACAGGATTTTCACATTATGCCGGCAATGTCATTCGTCAGCTTGGCTCCCTCGTCGTCCACGGGGTGCCGGGGTGGGCTTGCGCGGCCTCTGCGGGGCAGGGGGCACGGTTCGCGTCGTGTGGCTTGGACCCCTATCACAACTGCTTGCAGTTCCAGTTGTCTTTCTGGCTGTGTGTCTCCTGCAGGAAAACTATGTCTAATCTCTTCAGTGTGATCATTTCTGAAATGACCCACCATTAATATTTAAAGGGCAGACCCTCACCTTCATAAAAGACAGCGAGAAAGAGATGAAATCAGGAGGTAGAGAAAACGATAAGAGGAAAATCAACCTATGAAACACATTAGTGACTTATTAAGTCTTAACCGTTTTGAACCTTTTCTTTTGTTGGTCTGGAGCATCTTTCTAAAACTTTTCACATGCTTTTTTAGGCGGAAACGCCTTTTCTCATCTAAATAGTCAACACCAACCACTTTCTGCAAGGTCATCACGCTGTAATGAACTTCTCTAGATCTGGAAAATACCCAGAAACTTTTACAGATTTTCTGTAAGTTTCATCCAGGAAGTCGTTTATTTCCTCCAGCGTGTGCCGATCTCACACGTGTGAGTGTGATTCTGCAACAGAGATGCAGTCAGAATCGGTGTTGTACTCCATCTCCTCCTCACCAGCTACACTCTCCACAACACACAACCTCCCCTCCCAATCCATCGCACCAGCCGCCTGACTTCGGTCAGATTTAGCTGCCGGTGTTCTGTTGATTTATGCTACCTATCGAGATGTGCTACTCTGCGCATGCACATGACCCACAAGTGTGGTCTGTTTCCACGGCCATAAATCCGTGCAACCTTGCTGTTGGCCATGCTGTTGAGACAGTGGCTGATCATCAGCAATATCAAAATATAATCATTATTAGTCTATCAGAATACGCTACCCCTGATATCTTACATGGCATCTAAACATGGCTTAATATAGTAGCCTATTTCAAGATGCTCCACATCTCTTTACGGTAGCTACACATGGAGTGAGTAGTGGTGCGATACAAAATGATTCTGCAGTGGGAGGATTATTTGATAGGGGATATTAGTCTGTCAGAATACGCTACCCCTGAAATGATGTTATAATATCATAAAAAAACAGAAGATATCTTATGGGATTAGAAATGGGAACACATGTGGTGGCATTTTTCGATAGGGCAGAGTGACTTGATAGACTCTGCCATCAATTAGTGCTATGGTAGCATTTTTGACAAGGCAGCATATATTGTCAGAACACCGGCTCTTTCATGCTACCCTCTCCACTCTGTCCGATAACTTTCTATGCTCCTTTCCTTTTTTCTGCTGTAACCCTGTTAACCTGTTACTGCCTCTCTGCCTGAATCAGCTTACTGTTCCCCAATCTGACTGTCTGCCTGCCCGCTGTATCTAGGGTTGCCACCTTAAAATACGGAATCGGCCCGTATTTGAGAACTAACTAGCGTGTTCCGTTTTGAATCAATATCGGGGTGCGTTTTGTCCCGTATTTCCGAGTTGTCTTTAATGCAGCGTCCCAGTCAAATCATCCCACCCACATTCTGAGAAGACTTGTTCTTTTCTACCCCTGACTGGGTAATACTCACTGCCATTGATTTGATTTTTAAAGTTGAGGTATACAGTCAGACACATAAGCATTCATTTAATAAGAGAAAAGAGAGAGATATAGGTTATGCTTAACCAATCTACAGAATTGCATCCTTCAGTAGAATTAACAATAAATAAGGCTGAATAAATAAATACATAAATATATTTACTGACCAATCATAAAAATGGTAATAAATTAATTGAGAAATGTTTGTAGATATTTTAGCCAAAATCTGTGTTTACACCACCCTTTACAATTACTCAAGTTCATTTGCAATTATTTACCCTGTCCATCAACAGCCACATCATAAGCATCGCAGCATCCACTGGTTATGTGGAAAGGATATTTTCCAGAACGACCAACACAGTGACTGCAAGAACAGGTGTGGAGCTCATTAGGAGCTCTTGATCACTCTCAACTTTGAGAAGTCCTGTTCAGTTAGTTTTACTGTAGCTGTTTGAAAGACAACCAGCTACTCAGTGCTGCATGAGTCTTAAAGAGAAAAGAACAAAAAAACATTTATAAAAGGATGTATGCTCCAATACTGCACACAAGGCCTACTACTTCTAATCCACTGATCTTCATGATGTTCATGGAAAATCCCTTGCAAAATCGTATCAAAACATTTGTTTTAGCCTGTTTACAGTTAATTAGTTATGGAGATGTTGATTTAATAAGTTAACAAAATACAGTTCACATCCTATTTTTTGTATTGTCGCTGTCACACATTGTTGGCCTATGTATATTATTGTCGTAGCTGTGTATTCAGCTATGACAATATGACCACTAGTCTGTTGAGTTGTGACAGAGAGAGACTTTCCTGAAAACATGTTTTAAGTTATGATTTACCACCACCATCGGGGCTGTGGTTGCTGGGCCCCTGAGGAGTGTGGCCCCCGCTGCGGCAGGCAACCCGTATTTTCTGTTTTGAAGGTGGCAACTAAAAGCTGTATCCCTCTCCTGTCTCAGGCCCAGTCAGCGCAAGACACGGTCCGCCAATCCAGCAGTACGCGCACCCTCCTGTGTTTAGCGGCCGATCCGGCCTCTGGCTCGGAGCGGCCCTCCTTTGGCCTATGAGGACATGCTGTCCTCTTGTGCAGTAACGTTACATCCCCACACTCAGAACGATTCATGCTGCCTGTACTGGCATACACCTTTGTAGGCCTACTGTCCTTCCCCGTGTTTTAGATTTAAGGCATCGTCCAGCGTCTGTGACTGACAGTTCAGAGACATGAACACCTGTCTCCTGAAAGACTGGACATGTTTAAGTTTATTGCTCTTATAGTCCAAACCCACAGTCCTAAAGCCACTCCCTAGCTTCCTGAAGCACTGCAGCTCTCGCTCCAGTGCCTCCAGGAATTTTGGGCTCAATGACAAAAAAATCAAATAGGGCCCCCCCTGCGAAGTTGTTGTCACCACATCTTTATCATCAAAAGCTTTATATATATATAATGTGACTATAAAGGCATGCAACTGTCTTGCTTCTTGTACTTCAATACTAGTACTAATATTTACATGCATTAGATACAACAGATTTTTTTTGTGTGCACGCGCGTGTGTGTGTGCAAGCTTCTCAAATAAATTGCCCTTCATGATGGGAATAATAAAGTCTGTATCGGGAACAGATGGGTTGAGCTGGACCCATACTCCATGCCTCAGAGACAGGAACGGCATCTCAGAGGACACCATCTGCGCCATGAAACACGGTCTGCCGCCCACCAAACACAAAGCAAACACACACCAAGCTACACTAACACTAAGAACAACAGCTACAAAACACTCATACAGTGAATACAGGACGAGAAAAATACAAAAGTTTGAAATCACGCAACTCTCAGCCACACTCACCCGCTCTCCACCACCAAACCGCCAGCATGCAGAGAGAGAGAGGGAGGGGGGAGAAGGAGGAGAAGAAGAGAGAAGTACCTCAAAGGCTCGGTCCAGCTGGTTCATCTCTCTGAGCTGGTTTCCTTTGGAGAAATACAGCTCTGCTCTCACTGTTAGATCACTGGGGTTCTGCTGCAGTGCCCTGTCCAGAGCATCCAGAGCCTGGCACAGACACACACACTAAGTACAGGCTAACACACAGAAATTAGTATACACAGAAAAAGAAACTTGCTGTTTGAGTGTACTTCCTGGCATGACGGGTTAAGATTCACTGCTGGTTTAGACCAGACATCACTAAAAGCCCCCTTCACTATCTGCTACACAAACCATGAAGACGTCTGAAGGAGAGAGGGATGGAGGAAGGAGAAAAAGCAGATGATATGATAAGTCTAAACTGAATTAAAGAAGAGCTAGCCAGACAGACAGAGTACGGAGATGAAGAGCACGATAATGTATTCCTGTCTCTCTGTGCTGAGTAAAGGTGTGTTCACACTGAAAGTGAATCCAGCGTTTTGGGCGGCTTGATTACATACAAAGTCAATGCAAAGACGCAAATTCCTGCGAATTCGCTCTGAGAGGCATGAAAGAGGTGTTCACTGGTTCGCGCAAGTTAAAATTTTTCAACATGGGCGAGAAATTTGCTTGGTGCGATTTTGCGAAAGATTGTCCAAAAGTCACCGGTGGCTTCGGAGCGTTGTTTGGAGAGGACCTGGCGAGCGGTGTAATGACAATCCGCTGGCCAACGGAGAGCTGCTAAAGAACGGGATAGTGTACGGGGAGCAGTGCTGCAGTTTTTGAAGAAATAAACACCCGTAGTCGGTCTGGATTCTGCTCTGACAACTACGCCGTTTACCCGCGGAGGAGCTCAGAGTTAACTGCTTTTAAATTAGCTTTTTACTTTAGTTTTTGGGATTACAACTTGATTTATCTTCACACGCACTTCTCCGCAGCTAGCTTCCGTGAACATCCGGTTCCACTGTTGTTGTTAGCGTCAGATGGCACCAGAGTTCTGCTGGACTGCTACTTCATATTTATATAAACTGGACAAAGCTGGACATTACTTGGAGAAAAGAAAGCAAGTGTAGTGGCGACAACAGCGAGGAAGTTGGAACTACCTGGTGAGTTCAGAAAATGTGTGTCTGTCACTTTATTCCAGCTATCGTTGTACTTGTTGTTGTACAAACATTTTAAAAGTTGTTGTCCTGCTGTCTTGCTGACAGACCTGAGAAAGCATGAATTGATATGTCTTACAAATCGGAATCATATTGTAGCAACAGTTTGATCCGTTTATTGTAAATCACAGCAAAAGTTTACTTTGGGTTCATATAGCTGTATTCGCAAGTTGTGTTTATTTACTTCGCGTTGTGTGTGAACACCCAAAATGTCCAGTTGTTCAAACTCGCGCGAGTAAAGCGAGGCGAATATTAACTTCGCTTTCAGTGTGAACACACCTTAAGAGCAGTCTCAGCCAGGGCTGGCAATTAACACCCACCAAGCACCAAATGCGGGTAGATTTTCCGTTTGGCGGCTAAATGTTGGAAGACTACTCGCCACATTGGCAGGTAAACGTATTCCGTACGATATTGCTATGTTTTTTGTTGTGTGTCGCACTGAAATTGGTTCTCACTGTAACCAGGGATCTAAAATCGTGTAACACACGGATTAGGGGCGTTCATTGGTTGCTGCTATGTTCATTTCAGGTTTCTTGTGTTCGATTGGCGTAGATTTGTAGGGGGGTGGGAGTTTGGGGGATTGGAGTTGGGAGCCGTCAAGTCGTGCTTGGACTACCCAGAGTGTTTTTAGCATTTAGCTAGCTAGCTACCACCGTAATGTGCATACCTGTCGACCATCCCGTTTCCCCCGGGCCTTTGTATGTGTGCCTCCCACTCACCTTCATGACTCAGTCACTGCCAAAGTCAATGCCCTCAAGTATAATTTCAAAGCCCTTGTACCTTACTTGAGTATTTCAGTTTTATGCTGCTTCATTAAACCCTTATGGGTGTGTAATGTGCTCACACTTACAGACAGGTGGCTATGCGTAGCATCAGATTTTCAACATATGTCACATATTGTACATACACGTACACTTAGGCAAGTCCAATCACACTGACACAGCTCAAACACAAGAAAATATATTCTTACATTATTTTAGTAACAAATGGTCCAGTCCGGATTGATTTTGGTTATAATGTGAAGTAGTTTTCATTGGTCTTGTTGTTATTTCTTGGACTACACTTATATACTGTGTAAATTCTGGTCAGTTGTACGCACAGTAGCTCCTCCATTTCTGCTATGAAAGCATTACTGGGCAATAGTGACAATAATGTTCACCAATACTACACTGGATTTTAGAATGCGTGCTGGCATTTTATCGTACTGACTTGTGAACACTCTTGACTCAGTCTTATTCACATATTTACTGTGAAAATGGGTCGCAGGGAAAGTGAAAGACAGACAAGCACAAGTGCTGATGCTGGTGATAGAACAGAGTGGGAGGATGAGTGGCAGCTGCTTGCCAGCAAATGGCTGCTGGTCTGATGTATAGCAGAGGTGATCAGTTTCCACAGTAACTGTTGGAGGGGAAAACATCTCCTGCTGAGAGTTGATCATTCCTGACTGCAACAGACACCAAGGCGATTAGACGCACGCACACACACACACATTTACTGTCACACACACACACACACACCTCTGTGTAGTTGCCACGCTTGCTGTAGATTGCGGACAGGAGGCGGTAACATTCGATACAGCTGCCTTCTCTGGATATGATGTCAAGGGTCATCTTCTCAGCCTCTTTGGGACGACCTGCCATGGCTAAAACCTGAGCCTGGGACAGATATACAGTGTGTGTGGAACAAGAGAAACAGGTTTTTCAGGATTTGGCAAAATGTGTGTGGCCAGACAGATGTTGTTTTGGTGACTGTCCAGGATGTGGCAGCAAACACACACCCAGATGTCCTGGCATTCCATCATTCAATGAGTGTGTGTGTGTGTGTGTGTGTCTATTCACCAGAGCCAACCAGATGTCGGTACTGTCTGGCTGCAGGGAAGTTGCCTCTCTGTACACCTGCAGGGCCTCCTCGTAGCGTCCTGTGTTGTAGTACAGAGCTCCAAGTGGAGTCAAAATGTCCACCTTCCTCGTCACCTGCAGCGCCCTGTAGGCAAAGGTCAAAGGTCACAAGATGCCTGGCTCACAACAGAACAGAACAGAAGTACAGAACACAGATTGAGAAAGACTTATGCGGTGTCCAAAAAATTCTCCTTCTTTACTATTTAGTGCACTACATTTACCCTTCGCCATTTAATTTCAGGAACAAATATAGTGCCCATGGCATGTACACGTCTTTCTGCTAATAATCCCACAACATGTTGTTGGGTGACTCAATTCATATTATATAATTATATCATAATTATCCAAAATCCTACCGAGTATATGTTTTGTAGTGAGTAGTGAATGAGTAAATTTTACATACAGAACTAGTCTATTTGTGTCTCTGTCTCAAAATTAATCAATAGATAATTAATTGATGCTAAGATAAAAAATAAAGCGGGGTTCGAAAGTACAACACATTAACAACTCTGTAAATTTCCCGACTCCAACATTTTAGGAAATAAACATCTTTGCTTTCTTGCCAGGAGTTAGATGAGAAGGTCAATCTTCTGGGCTTATAAATATTTTTGCTCCAGGTCACCCTGAGTAGAAACCTGACTTAAGCTGCTGCTAAAATAGGATCCTTTCTTCACCTCTTGTACCAAGACTCGGCTTCTTTGTTCTCATTGGAGGATCGGAGCAGGCGGCCCAGGTTCACCATGGCAACGTAGTGTGCTGGTTTGAGTCTAACAGCTTGCTGGTAGTGAGCAGCTGCCAGCTCACCTTCTCCTTGAGGAGAGAAGAGAGCAAAGACAAAGAGGAAGGAAAAGAAGCGGGTGGACAGAGAAAAGGCATCAAGGAATGGGACAAGAGTGGTAGAGAAATCAGGAAAAAGATAAGAAACATGTACAGCAGGGAAAGAAAGATGATAGAGATAGGTATAGAAAAAAACAAAGGTGAGGTAGTGAGGCAGGAGGCAGATGGAAGGAATGGTGGAAGACCATCTATTAAATGTATGTGACCAGAATTTCCAAATTGAATACCATCTACTGCTCATTTATTATGGAAGCTTTTATTATAATATAAGACTATTATTTGAAACCCACAAATTTCAAATTCAAAGTACATTAATCTAAAGTCAGAGTAAAACTAAAAGTGACCCTAAGTAGCCTCTACGGGTTCTATATTTATGGCGGCACAATGACCAGCAGAAGCAGTGCTCTGACAGTTTGGTTCTTTCCTGTGGTCCTCAGGAACCTTAGAAACAGCTGTAGAACCAGATACATGTTTAGACTGTTTTGCTTCCCTCAATCTTTACCAACTAACTTCAATAATTTCTTCATCTAAACCATCAACCTGCCTCTTAGACCCCATCCCGACTAGGCTGCTTAAAGATGTTTTACCCTTAGTCAGCACCTCTATACTAGATATGATCAATCTATCTTTATCAACAGGCTATGTACCACAGTACTTTAAAGTAGCTGTAATTAAACCTCTTCTGAAAAAGCCCAAACTTGATCCGGATGTTTTATCAAACTATAGACCTATATCTAACCTTCCATTTCTCTCTAAGGTTCTGGAGAAAGCAGTTGCTAAACAGCTGTGTGACTTTCTACAGAGCAATAGTTTATTTGAGGATTTTCAGTCAGGATTTAGAGCTCATCATAGCACAGAGACAGCACTGGTGAAAATTACTAATGACCTCCTTATTGCATCAGACAAAGGACTTGTCTCTGTACTGGTTTTATTAGATCTTAGTGCTGCATTTGATACCATTGACCATCAGATCCTATTGCAGAGACTGGAATATTTCATTGGCATTAAAGGAACCGCTCTAAGCTGGTTTAAGTCCTATTTATCAGATCGATTTCAGTTTGTACATGTTAACGATGAGTCCTCCATGCACGCCAAAGTTACTCATGGAGTTCCTCAAGGATCTGTCCTTGGACCAATCCTCTTCACTTTATATATGCTTCCTTTAGGCAATATTATCAGGAAACATTCCATAAGCTTTCATTGTTATGCAGATGATACTCAGTTATATCTATCGATCAAGCCAGATGAAACTCATCAGTTAGCTAAACTTCAAATGTGCCTTCAGGATGTTAAAACCTGGATGAGCTGTAATTTTCTTATGTTAAACTCAGATAAAACTGAAGTTATTGTTCTGGGGCCTAAGCACCTCCGTGACGCATTATCTAAAGATATAGTTTCCCTGGATGGCATCGCCTTGGCCTCCAGCACCACTGTGAGGAATCTTGGAGTTATCTTTGATCAGGACATGTCGTTTAAGTCCCACATTAAGCAAATTTCAAGGACCGCCTTTTTTCACCTACGTAATATTGCGAAAATCAGGAACATCCTGTCTAAAAATGATGCAGAAAAACTAGTCCATGCATTTGTTACTTCTAGGCTGGATTACTGCAATTCCTTATTATCAGGCTGCTCGAAAAAGTCCATTAAGACTCTTCAGCTGATCCAGAATGCTGCAGCACGTGTTCTGACAGGAACCAGGAAAAGAGATCACATTTCTCCTGTTTTAGCTTCTTTGCATTGGCTTCCAGTAAAATCCAGAATAGAATTTAAAATCATTCTTCTTACCTACAAAGCTCTTAATGGTCAGGCACCATCTTATCTTAAAGAGCTCATAGTACCTTACTACCCCACCAGAGCACTGCGCTCCCAGAATGCAGGGTTACTTGTGGTTCCTAGAGTCTCCAAAAGTAGACTAGGAGCCAGAGCGTTCAGCTATCAAGCTCCTCTCCTGTGGAACCAGGTTCCAGTTTGGGTTCAGGAGGCAGACACCATCTCCACATTTAAGAGTAGGCTTAAGACTTTCCTCTTTGATAAAGCTTATAGTTAGGGCTGGCTCAGGTAGTCCTGAACCATCCCTTAGTTATGCTGCTATAGGCCTAGACTGCCGGGGGATTTCCCATGATGCACTGAGCTCCTCTCTCCTCTACTTTCTCTCCCTCTGTATGCAACCTTATCCCATTATTGCATGTTACTAACACAACTTCTCCCCTTTCTGGTAGTCTTGTGCTTTCTCGTCCCTCTCCTCTCTCCTCCTATCACTTCCTGCAGGTTTTCTGGCTCTGGAGCTGTGGAGTCTGGATCTGTGGCTGCGGGTCGCCTGCTGCCCCCGTGTTCCTGCTCGACACCCTCTACTGCAGCGACTGTTGTCGCTGGTCTTATTGTTATTATAATCATTAACATTACGATGGTTACCATTAACACTATTATAAATATCTGTACCATTTTTCATTTAGTTTATAGCAACATTACCTTCGCTGTCTGTACCTCTGTGTGTATATTGTGTAGGCTGCCTCCCTCCCCTCTCTCTCTTACATCCCTCTCTCTCTCTCTCTCTCTCTCTTTCTCTCTCTCTCTCTCTTTCACTCTCTTCTCTCTCTCTTTCTCTCTCTCTCTCTCTCACCCAACCGGTCGAGGCAGATGGCCGCCCACCCTGAGCCATGGTTCTGCTCGAGGTTTCTGCCTCTTAAAAGGAAGTTTTTCCTTGCCTCTGTCGCCTAGTGCTTGCTCTTGGTGGGAACTGTTGGGCTTCTGTAAATATCATCACAGAGTATGGTCTAGACCTGCTCTTTTATGAAAAGCGCTGTGAGATAACTGTTGTTGTGATTTGGCGCTATATAAATAAAATTGAATTGAATTGAATTGAATTGGTTAAATTGGCATAACTATAAAAATAACATTTCATGTGGTTAAAGCAGGAATGTCAGTAAATCAAGCTGCATTTATCTATAAATGAATAAATGGTTGTCCATAGCTGATTTACAGCCTACTGTATGCAAAGTTTCTCCTTCAGTTCATTAAGTCTCTGCTGCCTCTGATTTGAGAAGTGCTGCATCAGAGTGCAGTGTCATCACATACAGCCATCTACTGTATTTACCGTCATTAAATAACATACAATTCCACACACGTCAGACATGTATAACTTGATATTCTGGTTGTTTATAAGGACATGTTGGATAACTGTTGCACTAGTTGTTACTGAGCAATTAAAATATGGCCCTATTAGTCTAAACAGGTCAGTTTCCATGACTGAGGAACGACCAAAGCAAACTGAGCAACTTGTCATAATAAACATATTTGCTAGGACCAACAGCACTGATATATCACAGTTCACCTGACACTCAAATGCCTCTTTCTAACCCTAACAGAGAGCTGACCTGGAACACAGACACCACCTGCATCCTGTCTAATCTACAAGGAGATGAGACATGTGACTTCCTCCATAAAAGCTCCTGTTGCCTACATGTACACTAAATAATCCAGTTAGTCTCTTCTGACTGAAGTATACTTGGGAGCACAGGCTGTTGCTTGGTGGTGTGTTAGGTAGCTTTGTCTTTGGAAGATTTAGAGTCTGTGGACACAAAGCATTATAATCACATGCTATCTTGCTGGAAAGTAAAACTGGATATTGTGATAAAAAACAGCAACAGACTTTTCAACAAGCATGTCCACTCTGTGGCCACTTTATTAGGAACACCCATACCTAATGCAATTCAATTTCAATTCTGCCATAAACTCTACTTTACAGGGTTTATAAGGTTTACTTTTTGCTGACATTGTAGAACATGTGTGTTATGATATGTTTATTATTAAGGTCATAGTTAAAGATAATGTTGCACTACATCATATTTAGAGGTTTTTCTAATTTCTTTGTACAGTAAAAACCATCACCAACTATGACCTCTATGCTAAAATATTTAATATTTAATAAAACACCTTGTGATGTAAATTCTAATTACCCTCAATTTAACTTTAATTAACAACCAACACAGTTTGATTTTGCATTTAGGTTTATTATCATTTTTTGACATGCATCATTTCTAGAAGGAGGGCACTTGTTATGTCATCTTTAAGCTGCATTGAAATAATTTTCTTTCTTTTGAGGTGCTGGTCCCCTCAATGTAAAAGACTCACTGATACAATGGGTCTGTACTGAATTGGTGAATGGGTGAATGTGTCATGTCACATTCACCTGTTCACACACATTGACAAACTCATGGCAGAGGTGCAGACTGCGCATCAGAAAGGAACTAATCATTGGAATACTTTGGGGTTCAGCACCTTGCTCAAAAACACCTCGACATGCAGACTGTGGTAGCTGGGGATTGAACTACCAAGCTTCTGATTAGTGGGCGACCTGACCCTGCCCCAGCACGGGGATTTTGGGGAGAGAGCCTTTTGTTTGTAAATTGTCTATGTAGTGAGTATTTGTAGTTAAGAGAGTGATTGTGTTTTGTTCACCTCTTGTGTATGCTAAATAGTTTGACCTGCCATTATATATCTTCCCCTCCTGTCATTAGTTATGTCAGTTTTGTCTTTGTTGAGGTCAGAAGTCAGAACTGAATTGGATGAACTGACCTCAACAAAACAATGTATTTTCAGTTCAGTTCTGTTTTGTTGACCTCTTTTAGGAATTTTTTGATAATCTAATTTTGGCAAAACATCGTGCAGACTAATTGTTGGCTCTGACAGATTAGATCTCTGCAGCCAGTTTTAGTTCTCTGGTAACAAGTTGATTTGTATAATGTAATATCCTGAACTGAACTGAAGTTCACTGAAATCAGTGGCTCCCTGAAAGGTAGAACATTTTAAAAACATCAGCAATGCTTAACAAAATATGCACTTTACTATTAATGGGCCAAATCAGCAGTTAAAATTAAATTAGGATTAAAAAACAGCACAGTCCTTTAAAAAAACTATGAGGTATGTAGGAAGTGGTTGAATATTACTGTAAACCTGTGTATATCTATGCATTATAAGGCTATGGTGTTAAAGGGAGCCTGAGTTTACCCACCAGCCCTGGGGCCAGAGAGCTGCTTGGTTCAACTCACCCGTATCCACCAGAAACACTCCGTAGTTATTATGCAGGTCAGAGCTGTCTGGACAGTTCTCTATTCCTTTCAGATACACTTCATTGGCTTCAGCAAAGCGTTTCTGTGGGAGAATAAAGATAGAATGAATACAAGACACGAACTAGACCATGGTTACAGGAAGCTGTAGTTTGTGCAACTGCCAAACAGATTAGCCAGCTACATATTAAGTTAATTTAATTCAGGAGTTATGAAGTAGTGATAAGTTACAACCCGCCTTCAGGCACATAAGTCAAATGTGCTACTAATTTATATGTATGAATGCGTTGTTTCACCTGCTCAGCATAGAGTGATGCCAGACTAGAATAAGCATCAGCGAAATGTGGACCATAACGTATGGAGTCCTTCAGCAAAGTCTCAGCCTCTTTCTCCTTCCCCTGGGACCTGGAACACAGCATCATCATCATCCTGATCATCATCAACAGCCCTGTCATCATATGTTCATCATCATCATCGTTTCCATCAACAATATCATTAGCCATTAGACAACTCCCTACCCATCCGTGTGTATACATGGCAAGCTTGAGGCGGAGACCAGCAGTAAAGACCACCCAGGGTACAGAACAGAGCAGGCATTAATAAATTGCATTACATTTACTCATTTGGCAGACGATTTTATCCAAAGCGACTTACATTTGAGGAACAACTTACAACCATCAACAGAGCATCAATACAGCACGAGATCTACAACTGACAACACATACTAGTAAGCAATAAACACTAGTAAGCGCTAATAGCACATACATTACGGCATCAATGGGAGAGTTAACAAAAAAGTGCAATCGATATAAGAGAATTAGAAGGGGATAGAAAAAGAAGAGCACAGGAAGTCCATGTTAGAGGTTAAGGGTTAGAGGTGTATAAGAGAAAGTGTTCTCGGAAGAGATGAGTTTTGAAGAGCTTCTTGAAGTTAGAGAGACACCTCTGCTCTGATGGCATGTGGTAGCTCGTTCCACCAGATTGCTTTGTATGAAGGGTGAATTTGATTCAGGAGGCCATGGGTAGCCAGTGGAGGTCACACAGTAATGGAGTGACATGAGTCCTTTTGGGCTGATCAAAAACCAGACGTGCTGCTGCGTTCTGAATCATTTGTAGGGGTTTCACCGCACAAGCTGGAAGACCCACTAGGACGGAATTGTAATAGTCGAGGTGAGAGATAACCGTGGCCTGTATCAGAAGCTGGGTGACATACTGAGTACACTGTAAAAAAAATTTTAATTTTACAGTTTTATTGCTTTTTATTTTACAGATTTTTTCCTGTATTTTTGAACTACATGAAAATATCAAAAAATTGCAAAACAAAAAAAATAACATGAAAAACCTGTAGCTGTGAATAACAATAACATTCATGTTATTTTAAAGAAAATATTAAATCATTTTTTTTGATGTAAAAAAACTGTTCCAATACATTCAGGATTGTATTTTCACAAATATTATTTGTCTTATTTAAGACACTGTTAAATTTAAGTTTAATACTGTAAAAACATTTCTTAAACTTGGTACAATTAGTAACAGTTAACCGTAACAAAAAACATGTGTTCTGTAATTTGACATAGATTTGCTTGTTAATTGATACATATCTCCTATAATTATGGGTATTTGGAATATGGAATTTGGAAATAAAAACATTGAATAAATGTTATTTTAATAAGTCTATAATGTCTACAAGCATTTGATAACTGAAAACAGCCACAATCCATCGGAAGATCCACAGGGGTCGGTACCTTGACGGACCAGACCCGGGTGGCAGAGGCTGGCTCTGGGGACGTGGAACGTCACCTCTCTGTGGGGGAAGGAGCCGGAACTTGTGCGGGAGATGGAGCACTACCGATTAGATCTGGTGGGGCTGACCTCCACGCACAGTCTTGGTTCTGGAACTGTACTCCTTCATAGGGGATGGACACTATTCTTCTCTGGAGTTGCTCAAGGTGTGAGGCGCCAGGCAGGTGTGGGGATACTCACAAGTCCCAGCTGAGCGCCGCTACGTTGGAGTTTACTCCGGTGAACTAGAGGGTTGCCTCCCTACGCCTTCGGGTAGTGGGGGGGAAAACTCTGACTGTTGTTTGTGCATATGCACCAAACAGCAGTGTAGAGTATTTGGCCTTCTTGGATGGAAATCTCCTGAATGGAGTTCTGTATGGGGCTCCAGTAGGGGACTCCACAGTTCTGCTGGGAGACTTCAATGCGCATGTGGGTAATGATGGAGATACCTGGAAAGGCGTGATTGGGAGGAACGGCCCCCCTGATCTGAACCTGAGTGGGTGTTTGTGCCTCTGCTGTGGCAGATGCAAAGCAGCGGGTGTGGGAGAAGTTCGGAGAAGACATGGAGAAGGACTTTCAGTCGGCACCAAAGTGTTTCTGGAGAACTGTCCGCCATCTCAGGAGGGGGAAGCGGGGAACCGTCCAAGCTGTGTACAGTAAGGATGGGACCCTGTTGACCTCAACTGGGGAGGTAATTGGGCGGTGGAAGGAACACTTTGAGGAACTCCTAAATCCGACTGACACGCCCTCTCTAGTAGAGGCAGAGCTGGAGGCTGATGGGGGTTTCTCGTCAATTTCCCTGGTGGAAGTCACTGAGGTAGTCAAACAACTCCACAGTGGCAAAGCCCCAGGGATTGATGAGATCTGCCCAGAAATGCTAAAAGCTTTGGGTGTGGAGGGGCTGTCTTGGATGACACGTCTCTTTAACATTGCGTGGAAGTCGGGTACAGTGCCCAAGGAGTGGCAGACTGGGGTGGTGGTTCCCCTGTTCAAAGACAAAGGAAGTCTCTGTGCAGGAGTCCAGAAGTTACATCCCCTTCCACCCATTGTAGCAGTGTGCCTTACTTCCATCACTGTCAGGACATCTGATTGGATAAGGCAGGGTACATGTGCATATGTGCATATCAAGATGCTGATCAGACAGCATGGGTATTGCACAGGTGTGCCTTAAGTGTGAAGTTTCACTGTATTGATTGTGAACTGTGGGTGCCAATTACAGAGGTATCACACTTCTCAGCCTCCCCGGTAAAGTCTACTCTAAGGTGCTGGAATGGAACTCTCACAAGGATCCTGGAGTGGGCCCATCCAGTCTACATGTGCTTTGTAGATCTGGAGAAGGCGTATGATTGGGTCCCCCAGGAGATACTGTGGGAGGTGCTGTGGGAGTATGGGGTGAGGGGGGCCCTTCTCAGGGCTATCCAATCCCTGTACATCCAAAGTGAGAGCTGTGTCCGAGTACTCGGCAGTAAGTCAGACTCTTTCCAGGTGAGGGTTAGCCTTCACCAGGGCTGCGCTTTGTCACCAATCCTGTTTGTGATATTCATGGACAGGATATCGAGACGTAGTCGTGGCGAGGAGGGGCTGCGGTTCGGTGGACTTGGGATCTCGCCACTGCTTTTTGCGGATGATGTGGTCCTGATGGCATCATTGGTCCGTGACCTTCAGCTCTGGATTGGTTCGCAGCCGCGAAGTGGTTGAGATGAGGATTAGCACCTTTAACTCTGTGGCCATGGTTCTCAGCAGGAAACCGGTGGAGTGCCAACTCCAGGTAGGGAATGAGTCCTTACCCCAAGTGAAGGAGTTCAAGTACCTCGGGGTCTTGATCACGAGTGAGGGGAGACTGGAGCAGGAGATTGGCCGGAGAATCAGAGCACTCGCTTTACCGCACCGTTGTGACGAAAAGAGAGCTGAGCTGTAAGGCAAAGACAGGCATTCTGTGCCTGACCTCACAGATGCGCTTCTACAAGAATGGTCAAAAATTCCAATGGACACAATCCTAAAAGCTGATTACCAGTTTAAGAACAGTATTTTGACCTTTTTTAAATGGAAAATCTATTGTTTGCGAGTCATCATTTTTTTAGATTAAACATTGATTACATTTACAAGATTTTTATGTAAAATTATATAATAAAACTTCCACAAATGATTTGTATTATAGCGGTGTTCAACTGTATTTATTGGTAATTTAATTGTTTTTACAGGTGTATATGTTCTTCAATAAACATTAAAAGCCCCAAAATATTTTTTGTAAAAAGAAAGTTACAACTGTACTGTATTGTCATCATGGAATATTACCGTACTTTTACGAGTTAGTTATTTACTGTTATTTAACGGTATTTTTCTGGCGCCCCAGCTGCCGGAATATTTCCTATTTTTCACCTTTTTTTTTAACAGTGTAAGATGGGACCGGATTTTTCTTATGTTGTATAGAGCAAAGCGGCACAACCAAGAGACAGCAGCAACATGGTCTGAAAAGGACAGCTGGTCATCAATCATGACACCCTAGTTTCTTACCACCTTGGTTGGAGTGATGGTTGGGGAGCAAATTTGTAGTTTGTTGTTGTGGTGGATAGATTGCTTGGCTGGAATGACCAAGAGTTCAGTCTTAGAGAGGTTTAGTTGAAGATGGCGAGACTTCATCCATGCAGATATGTCCGAGAGACGCGCTGAGATGGTGGGATCGTCGGCAGGAAGGATAGGTAGAGTTGCGTAATCATCTGTGTAGCAGTGGTAAGAGAAGCCGTGCGTACTGGGGTGAGGTGGTGTAAATTGAGAAGGGGACCTAGCACCGAGAGTTGGGGAACCCCTGTGGAGATTGAGTGGGAAGAAGATAATTATCCTTGCCCCAAAACATTGTAGGAACTCCGAGAGCCAGGATTCAAACCACAGGAGTGCTTTACTCGAGATGCCTGTTGCTGAGAGTGCGGGTAACAGGATCCTGTGATTGACTGTGTTAAAGGCAGCTGATAGGTTGGCAGGATAAGAACCGAGGACTGGGCTGCAGCTTTAGCTTCTGTGACAGACAAAAGTGCCGTTTCGGTAGAGTGGCCACTCAGCCAGACTGTAAGTACAGAAAGACATGACTAATCAGATACGGCCTGCAATGGAGTGGTGGATGGTGGCGGCAGATTACAAGCTGCTTGCAGAGGAAGCAGCAAGGGCAGGCAGGCTATAGCAGCTTAAATAAGGCGCCTTGTATGGAATTTGCCAATGAATGCTAACAGAGTTATCAGCTGTGAGCTGAGCTGGACTTTGTTGCCTCCCTGAACTAACGCTATGCTTCATTTATTATCATCATTAGCAGAAATTCGATCGTGGTCTCAGGTTGTCCTAAAACAAATCATTGTCAGTACTAGCTTTCCCCTGACTATAGCAGCAATATTTCTTACAATCATCCTGATTAGTAGAAGCTATAATAGCATACTCTCATCACCATTATCATCATAATCATCAGTAGGAGTTATATTATTATAGTCATCATTATCATCATCTTCACCGCTGTCATAATCAACATCATCATCAACAGAAGCAAAATTAGCAATTGTACACAAATCAACACATGGACAAACAAACACACAGTGCTGTTGTGGGCTTGCAGCAGTGGATCGATGGTGTGTTTGTTCTCACAGCTCCACTGATAACACAGAGGTGGTCTGAGCCATAATAATGGACTTCGTTTCAACTGCAAATATTGATGTAATTTTCTATTAGTGCCAGCAGAGCTCAGGTCAGTCTATGCTGTTTGACCGACCAAACAAAAGACTCCCCAGCTGTATAAACAGCTGGTCTGATTACAGTGGCGGTGTCATCACAAGTGTTGCATTATTTTTTAGGCCCGACAGCCTCTGACCATTTATTTCCAGCTATGTTTTATGTTTTAACATTTCTCTTAATTCTGTTTGTGTCCACATTGACAGACCATGACTCCAATGTAAATGCTCTGTACTTGTATAGCGCCTTTCTTTTTGACCACTCAAAGCGCTTTTACACTACATCTGCATTCACCATTCACACACATTCATACACTGAGCAAACGGAAACTAACATTCACACTCATACACTGGCGGAACAGCTGCCAGGGGCAATTTGGGGTTCAGTATCTTGCCCAAGGACACTTCGACATGCAACCAGGGGGAGCCAGGGATTGAACCTTCCGATTAACGGCCAACCCGCTCTACCTCCTGAGCCACAGCCGCCCCGGTTCAGTAGTGCAATGAATCATGGTCAATGAGTTTAACAATGGTTTGTTGATTGAAAACTATGTGGGTGACCTGAAAGCAATCCACAACAAAAATGTACTAGGCAGAGAGTTGACTTTCCAACCCAGGTCTGATATTTCTAGGGAGACACTGACATATACAGGTTTTTTCCTACGTTCCATCCTCCTCCTCATCATCATCATCATCACCACAGGCTGCAACAGTCGCATTTTGTAACCATCTTTGGACACAGTGCTACTAAATGTTATACCTAGGAGCAGCACCAGTAGCTAACGCTAGGCTCTTGTCATCATGACAATTCAGGATGGGCAATTCTACGAAGGATGTCCTCTATATCTGGTCCATAAGTGCTCTTGTTTTTTTCCATAATAACAGTATGGGGACAGATGCACTGATACAATTGAACAGCTTAACAATTAAAGATGTTTTTTCTGTTGTTGTGATCATTCTTGGGAGCTGAGGGGGAGAAAATATACTTAAGAAGTTGTTGTAGAACATTAAGAATGTCACCAGCTGTTAGGGCCACTTTTGGGAGCTCTTTGGAGAGCTGAAAAAATACTTTCTTTCCACTAGAAAGATGTTAACATGATTTCTGCAAAGTCTCCAGATGTGGATAGTGTCTTTCGTTTCTGTCACATTTCACAAAGTGACGGTAAAGCAGTACCGTGTGATCAAAAGTGGGTGCTATCACCGTACAGCTGTTCTCCAATAGCTTTTAAATGTGAGTGTGTCTTACTTGAGGAGGTTTCCAAGGTTAAACAGAGCTCGGTTATGCTGAGGGTTTGTGTCCAGTGCTCTCCTGTAGTAGCGCTCAGCCTCCTCTGGGTTGCGAGTTAGAGTGCCGAGGTTGTTCATGGCGCTGGCATGGCGGGGGTATAACCTGAGAGGGAAGAAATGGACACAAAAAAAACAGGAGAGGGGAGGTTGGAAAGAGGAGGAGAGAAAATAAGGAGACAGAACAAGAGTCCAATTCAATTGATAGTATACAGTCTGCAGAATAACTGCAAATGTTTGACTTAAGTAAACCTGTAATAACTGACTTTTTTCCCAAGTAGTGAACACAACATTGAAATATACATACATACACACACTTTTTAAGTTGATATGGTGAACAAACAATAGCTTATTTACACATGCAACATTCGCTTGGAGTGGTGTTGAAAGTCGTCTGTAACAAGCATTACAGTCAAACTATGTTCATATTAGGAACCACTAATGGCTGCACACTTCCAGAGGGAAGCATAGCATAACATGATCTTGTTTGGACAAAGTGCCTTGTGACAGTGATAAGGATTGTCTTAAGAGCAATTGGTGATGATAACTCAGCAGCAAGTGTGGGGAATCTGCGTCCAACAGGCTCTCTGCTGACATTTACTGCTGCTCTCCATCACTGCAAGACCTCTGTGTGATTAAAATACACTTTTATAGTTAGTGCCCATTATGGTGACTCAAGCCTCAAGACACAGTGGGCAATGCTCTTCCCTGTTCCTATGGTAACTTTGTTACCCCCTTTTTAATGGGTTGGCATTGCCTTGTGCAGAAAAAGATGCAGTCGTGGAAAAACCTGAGAGAAGCCAGCACTGATCAACAGAGGGAGAGCCGTCACATAACACCAGTGGCAGCCTTAAGCATCTGGAATGATGAATGACCTGTGGAATGATGGACCATCATTCCACAGTTCACAATCAATACAGTGAAACTTCACACTTAAGGCACACCTGTGCAATACCCATGCTGTCTGATCAGCATCTTGATATGCACATATGCACATGTACCCTGCCTTATCCAATCAGATGTCCTGACAGTGATGGAAGTAAGGCACACTGCTACAATGGGTGGAAGGGGATGTAGCTTCTGGACTCCTGCACAGAGACTTCCTTTGTCTTTGTTCGAATGGGGCCTGATGCTGTAGTGACAAGCTCTTAAGTGCAGAGACACAGCTCATGCAAGGTTAACGCCTCCCAACATTCAAGTCTATTGTCCACAGCTTTAATTAAATTCTAAGCTAGTTTCAACTAGCTGTACCAATTCAAATCAACACAAATGCTAAAAGTTCTAATTGAGTTTCTGTACTCACCAATGAGGTCAGTTACAGCTTCCTTCTCCTTAGAGCCTTGCTGCTAGCGTGGCTAAAAATCACCAAAATTAGGAAAACTAAGGAAACCTAACCTAACCTAAGGAAACAGATGTAACAGCATCTGCTTACATCCCTATGTCATATACACTTCTGGAGGAGACTTAAAGAATTAACTTATTGACTTCTTTCAAGTGCTCATTATGTGTCCTTGTCTCCTCGCTTCTCTATACAGCAGCCTATGACCTGGAAATCAGTCAAAGGATGCCATTAATAAATCAATACCTTTAGGATTTAGTCAGATTTCTCTACTTCTAGTTGATGGATTATGTCTGACTTTGGGAATCAAAAATTGCCCTGTTAATTAAAGTAAGTTTGAGAGGTCGGGTGGGTTTGAGGTTAATTATGAGCTGGGATGTGGTTTGGCGCTGGATGAAAGCTATTGGGGCTCTCTGCTCAGGGTTGGTAGGCTGGATTAGCAGAGAGCCATTGTACCGTGAGTGCATCGCAGCACACAACTCTGCTGCTACAGGAAGATGCAGAGAATGAAAAGGAGAGGTGGAGAAGAAGAGAAAAAAGATCTACGTGACCACCTCAAGTCAATTTCAGACAGGTTGCAATCATGTAGCGTGATAGTTGTCAAGTTTAAATGACAGACAGTTGGTGGACAGAGTTCCATTAAACTTGTAAGCACATCATATTGTAATGAAGACTGATTACCATCACCTGTGTTAGGGGGTGGGCAGGATCATGCAGTGATAAAGGGAGTGTTTTGAACGGCCCAATTTGGCTGATAGAGAGACTAAACTACTTTAGTCTGTGGCTGTGGTGGGAGGGTGCTATTCGCTACTTTTAGTGTTCCTGGCAGTGAAGATAGCCGGCAGGGGGTCTGTTCCTGTGTTAGGAGGGGAGGCACGCGCCTTTAGGTAGAGAGGGACCCGGATCTAGTAAGTGCCTGTGTCTGTGTTTGACTGTTTCTCAAGTCGACATGCCAATCCAAGTGATTTTCCGCAGCCAGGGTTTGAATCCAGCTTATGGTTTGGAGTGGTCTTATTATGTGTTGCATTTTTATATGGTGTCTCGGCAGTTTTTCAGGGTACAGGTTGCTGTGTGGTTGATACAGTATGCAGTGGTCCTCTCGGGTACAACCATCAACAAGAGAGGTATAAAATTCTACTCATTGTCACAGATAAATAGCTGCCAGATTACAGATGGACTAATCTGAAAAAAGGACAGAAGGATGGAGGCGTACACATGAGAGAGGAGAGGTTGAACCACATCTCTGTGGTTCCTCAGGAAGCCTCTGCAGTGACAGGAACAATTAATGGACACTCTCCTCATCAAGGCAGCCTGTGTGTATGATAGATGAATAGAGCACAAGCTTGCAGCTGAAACCAGGCCATAACGTGCATGAACTTGCTCCAATTAAAATGCATTATTCTGAAATAAATTAATTGCACTTTAATCAATTAAGAAACAATAGACAAATTAGGCAACAATATTGTTGTTTAAATGAAAAATTAACCCACATATTTGTTGCACATTGTGTTTTTGCACCAGGGAATGTTATGCACTTTCTTGTGTTGGGTGATGAGATAATAAAATTGAATGTGAAATAGACTTTTCACTTACAAACTCTTAATCTAAAAAAATTACTGCAATTTGGACCTTTGCAGTTGAATTTGAATTGTGCCCTGATTTCATGACAGGATTACACCAAGCTTCTTTTTGGAAATCTGGCAACAGTATAAAAATGGCCATGAAAAATTTTGTCATAAAAAATGTCATTTTACATTCAGTTTCATTATCATTACGACAGTGTTGTGTTTAGGAATACACTAAAAATTGTCAGTGAAGTTTTCCTTACACCTTTTCATTGTGGCAGTAATTATGCATTTTCAAAAATGAAAAGACAACAAGAGCTCATGCAGATTTTAGTAACAAAAGTTTTGTGTGACAAATGTATTTGCATAAAATCCCTATAACAACCCTTGCATTTAGGTTCCAATGTCACAATACTGTATGACAATGTATTACAAAAAAGCCCTTATGCTATTTTAAACTTACATTGACTCTACCAAAGACTGTGTGCAAATTCCTGCATGGAAATTCTACGTCGCAACACATTTGCTTTAAATTGTCTGCTTAATCAAGAAATGTGTATAAAGCTATGTCACAATATATTTGATTTAAAGGGATAGTAAGTAGTTGTAATCAAATACACTTCATGTTAAATAATACATAATATATGGAGCAAAGGAAGGTTCTAGCAAATGTGTTTTGACATACTGTGATTTATGCAAATAAAAACCAATTAATGGTGACATAGGCACTTGTTATGCAAATGTGTGTGCATATTCTGGAGTCCAATGAGCTTAATAAAAGATAACATTTTGGTAAAGATTGAGTCGTGTTTTGAGACCTTGTGTAGTATGCAAAAGAAGGTCATCAAAACCTTCCAGGAATATGGAAACTTGAAACAGTGATTTATGACCATCATAACCAATCATTTCTGCAGTACTAAATTAAACTGATGGCTCATACAGCTCCACAGATATTGCACAGATTCATGTCGATACAATTCAGACAGAAGTTATGGAAAAACAAGCCACTTACTGCATTATTTTCTATACCTTCAGCACAATTCTTCGGGGCCTTGGTAGCTGTTTGACTGCTCACATTACATGCAATCATTTTTATTTTTAGCCAAACATTTTAGGGTTTTTGCTGGGCATTCAGCTGTAGCCTAGGGCTGGACGAAATGCCCAAAAATGTTATCACGATAAAAAGTGTCATATTTTTCAATATCGATAATTATCACGAGAAGTATCAAACCGTTATTTCTTTCTGATTTAAAGGCTGATTTTTGCTCCTGAGTTAAAGTTAAAGGAACCTGATGGTTAATTGTGGTTTAAACCAGGGGCATAGGAGCGACTTTGAACCTGGGGGGGATGCAGAAGGGCTGGGGGGGTTCGGGTGCATTCCCCCCCGATTTTTTTTTTCATTTCTAATGACTTTTGAAAACAGAATGTATTTATTAGTGTGGCTCAAAGAGGGTATTTGCAGTGACAGAAGATGGAGAATAGAATGGAGAGGGGAGATTATGAAAACTCTGGTGCAGTTTAATATAACTTGAACAAAACCGACTACATACCATAAAAACCATGGAACAGCTGCTAGTTAATGTAGCTAGCCACAGTACAAATGTATTTAGTTATCCTAATGTTAGACTTGTGAGCTGTCTGTGATATTTCCTGTATCTAACTTGGCCCTGACTCTCCCTGTAACAAATGTTTGTGAACACAGAACTGTCTTCAATGCAAACTCTGATGACATGCCAATGGCCTAACAAAATCTTTTACTATGTGAATATTAGAATATACAGTATGTCTAGTAGCTATCCATACAACTTACAAGCTCATCCTACTTTGTTTTTTCTACTCCTACTCCTGTGACCTCTGACCTCTTCCTCTTAAAATACTGCAGGATGCTCGTCTCTGTGTGACAATTTTGACTACTTTTAAATTGTTTATGGACACGTAGCAGAGACACATACACACCTCAGGACACAGGGTTTTAAGGTCAAGGACAGGCACAAACAAATGGCCCAGGAGTTTGTCCCTGGTCAGCCCACTCTCCAGACAAAGCATTTGCTGGGGCCTCTGGGTCTTCAGAGACCTTTATTCCTGCATTCTTGAGAATTTTATGCAATTACAGTACATAACTAAATGAGCCTTTAAAATACATTTTCAAAACTAGAAACTCCTCTCTTACTCTCCTAAAGTTCTGCTATTGCCCTCATCTCT